CCTGTTTAAACGGGTTCAGGGCCGGTTTTACCTCCCCAAAGGAGACTCCGCCCATCGGCGTCGCCTCCTTCGGGTTCCTCTCCGTCCGGAGACAGAGAGTTGAACCGATCAGTCGCTCAGAAAGTGAACGACTGACGCACTCCGTGCCTACTCCTGAGGCGCAGTATTTATTAAGTATGGAATAGTCCATTATTATTATTATGGGTAAGGTCCATAACAAATATATATATATATATATATATATATATATATATATATATATATATATATATATTATACTATTGATTATATTCGGTTGGAGAAAAACCTGGATGGCACAATTTGCAAGTATATCAAAACAAATTGGTATCCGAGGAAAAATTCGAACTAGAAACGTCCGAACAGGGCGAAAAAAATCGTCCAGTGCATTAAATTTCCAGTACAAAGAAAAAATCCCTTCAACTTACCCTGAAGATCCATTTACGTGAAACCTGGGTCGGTCGTTCATGACTCTTTAAGATTTATTTTTATATATATATATATATATATATATATATATATATATATATATATAAGACGTCTGTCTAAAAAGTAACATCATCTAACATGTCTTATGTGTATATAACTGTAATCTTAGATTTTTGCAACCATTGTATTTTTTTATTCACAGGGAGAGTTGTAGCAGGACAAATAGTGGCAGCTTCATCATAACAATGTAGCTAGCTGTTGACAACGCCCTGAGCATCCGGTAGTGCTTGGAGGAGAAGAACATCGCTGTACTGAAACAACCTCCCTATTCACCAGATCACCGTGTGGCTTTTTTTTTTACGCAACCTCAAAAGGAAGCGTGGAGGTCATCAAGAGGGCCGTAATGACGGAGCTGAGGGGCATCCAAGAAGAATTCTTCTTGCGGTGCATGGAGCGTAGATGAAAAGAGATTACTCTAAAAGGGAAACCATGTAGTTTGTTGTTTGGAATTGAAATAAATTGTTTGTGACACCAGTTCCGTTACTTTTCTCGTATTTTCAAGCCTCGTATATATATATATATATATATATATATATGTGTGTGTGTGTGTGTGTGTGTGTGTGTGTGTGTGTGTGTGTGCGTGAAAATACATAGAAAATAGGAAAGAAGCCGTTCGGTAAATAATCCAAAGTTCTTTTTTTGAAACATGAGAACTCTTATGTAGCGTGTTGGAATCATATTTTTAAATAAATAATTATATATATATATATATATATATATATATATAATAAGAAAGAATTTTTCATGAAAAGTAAAGCTATTTCCAAAAATGTCTGAACAAGATAGTGAAAGATATTAATGTAACAGATAAATTTTTTATGAAATCGAATAAAATAGGAATTTTTTTTATAAATTAACACCAACGGACTACAAAAACCGAATTAAATAAGAATTATAAAAAGGCTAGTAATAATTACGTGAAAATGGTGGAAAATATTATTAATTAGTAGGGAAAACATCACAGATGAATCTAATATTAGTGATAGGTTAGGTAAACTTCCCCAAAAAGAGTGCTATATAACCATAAATTAATCACAGACCCGATTTCGAAGCTAATCCGACCACAAGAATTATCAAACCATGCCGACCCGAAATCGGTAGAATTAGTAAGAAAATCCTAGAAAATGTCAACCAACAAATAAAGGATTACCTAGGATTAAATCTTTGGACCAATACCAAAGAAGTTACTAATTTGTTTACTAATATCAAGGAGAAACCAAATTGCACACTAATACAGTTTGATATTGAGAATTACTACCAATAGTAAGGAACTTTTCACAAATGCTATGGATTTTGCTACCCAATACTCAGTCATAACCGATATAGAGAAAAATATAATTATGAATGTGAACAAATCGGTACTCATTCATAATGACGAATAATGGATTAAAAACTCTAATGACACTTCAACATCACAATGGGATCATTGAACTCTGCAGACTCCTCTGACATTATTGGATTTTTTTATATTATTGCATATAGTGAAATTAATATAATTTTTATATTATTGCATATAGTGAAATTAATATAAATGACATTGGACTGTACTGAGACGACGGACTAATGATTGCAAGAAATTCTACTAACTTTAAAATTGATAAAATTAGAAAACTATTACATTGAGAATTTAAATGTCTAAACTTAAAAATTACTGAAAATATTAGAATGAAAAAGTTAACTTCTTTGATATAACACTAGATTTAATGAATATTATATACCTATCTTACAAAAAGCCCAGCACTAATCCTCTGTATATACACCCTAAGTCTAATTATCCTCCATCTATAATTAAGTATATACCTTTATTTATCGAAAATAGAATTAGTACAAATTCAGAAAATGGGAAAATATTCTATGAACATAGTAATTTCTATAATAAATCTCTAAAGAATCATGGCTGTAATTGCCCAAAACCCAATTATATAAAAAATGAAAATCGACACCATAGAAAATATAGATATAGAAAAATTATTTGGTATACACCCTCATACAACTAAAAGGTAAGAAATAATTTAGACAAAAATTCCTTGCATTAATTGATAAACATTTTCCTAGAGATAGTAAAATCAGTAAAATTTTTAATGAAAAATACCCGAAAATTAAGTTACAGTTGTACTGAAAACTTAGAAATGATTATTTAGAAACATAATGCTAATATCTTGAATAAACACTTAGACCAAAGTCAAAAACATATAGGTCCTAAAATAAAAAGAAATGAAGACAAAGAAAAATTATGTAATTGTAGAAATCATCAAAACTCTCCTCTTAATAATAAATGCCGTATTGAATCAGTAATGTATCAATGGAATATCTTATCTATTGAAGATCCAGACATGGTTGAATTCTACATTGGATGCACACGGAATGAATTCAAAAGGTGGAACCAACATCAAACGTTCTTTAATAATAATAAAATACCGAAATCATCTAAATATTTCCCTATCTAAATATTTCTGGCACTTAAAAGAAACCAATAAAACATCAACGATAAAACGGAAAAAGCTAGAGCTTATAGGCAATTAAATAACCTATCTCCTTTGTGCATACATGAAAAATTATACATTATTTTCTGAAGAATATAAATTTACTAAATCAAAGAAATGAAATAGCCAGATTTTGTAGACACTGTCAAATATTTTCCTTAAGTAATAAATAATTTTGGAAAAATCAAAGAAGAGAGATGAAACATACATTTTTTTTTATTTTGTTCATTAATTAGTAATTAAATTCTAATATATTTATTTGTAAAAATACCGTATAGTCTATTAGTTACTAGAAGGAGGAATGGTACTTTAAATCTGTAGGAATAATGTTTACATATTAAAAATATGATTTATACATATTTAAATGACCCTTCTAGAAAGTATTAGTGTATAAAAATATGAATTAAGCGGATAAATAAAAATGCTAATTTTTTTGTCATTGAAAACCCAGACGATTCGCTGAATAACTGATGTCTATGTTTGTTAGTATGCACCCCCACCCAACCTAAACTTAACCTGGCTTTGTAAGTAACATATATTGGATACGTAAGCTGTCAAAGGAAATTAAAACCCAACCATGTTAATCAAAATAGATTGAATTTTCCTTAATCTTAACAACTCATAATATTAATATTGTCTGCGCTTATAAATTAAATAAACTTCTTAGAAAGTTATTCCTAACATCGCTTGACAATGGAACGAAACTATTGATTTTAAGTTTGATTTTTATTTATAAATTTAGTTTCAGTTTTGAAACATAGAAACATGGAATATTACTTTTTAAAAAAGAAGATAATTATAATATATATATATATATATATATACAGTGTAACCCGGATATAAGAGAAACCCGGATATAAGAGAGATTTTCTCTGGTCCCAAATTAGAGCCTGTGTTAATGTATATAAAATAGACTAAACCCGGATAAAGAGAAACCCGGATATAAGAGACTTTTCTCCGGTCCTGACAACTCTCTTATATCCGGGTTACATATATATATATATATATATATATATATATATATATATATATATATATATATATATATCACGTGTTGTCACAAGCCTTATGAGTGAAATTGGGTAGACAGAAAACAATTAGGGGCCATCGATGGATGTGCTAACACGAAGACATAAGCCATCGTGACCGAGAGTTTGAGCGTGCTAGCCTTGCTCAGAATGTTGATCACACTGGATAACATGTTCTCTCCCATAAACTGTAACTAAGATCTGCTGAGCAAGGTTGCAGTATAAACTACGGGTGGGCACTGTACAAATGAATTTGGTTAGATTGAAAAAAAATTCTTTCAAAAATATTCTATCAAAAATTGTTAAACTAACTGCGTCTCTCGTTTTGTGCGCATGTGTAGACGTGGCAACTTCAACAAAGCTCAATCGCGTCACCTGCTGTCACAAAAAAACTTTTCCAGTTTGTCATATTTTTCTAAATAGATACATAGATATGAAATTACTGAGATAGGTAGATAGATAGATAGACAGACAGACTAACATACTGCAAGAGATAGAAACCTTTCGATAGATAATATAGTGAAATAGGTAGACAGACGAGTAGAAATATTTTGAAACAGTTATAAACAAACAAAAAAGGATAGAAATACGTTGAGAAAGATATGACCCCACTGAAATTCACATCAATCTGATTCTGTTCATATATATATATATATATATATATATATATATATATATATATATATCCAGTAGAAAGGTTTGCTAATAGGAGTAGATAGGTTTTCCCATTATCCGCTTCCTTCTCCTCCCCGGTCTTTTGAACAGGAGTAGGGTTCTATCCATAGTTTCCTGTTTAGGATTCTGTTCCAGGTTCCCTTTTTTTCATTTTCACTTCTAATGGCCCCTAGCCTCTTGGTGACATTGTCACCTTGTCTATGTTGGCGCCTCTTACTCTGTTGTCCTCTACCTTGAGGGGCTCTTGGACTTTGTACTGTATTAGCATGATTGTAATCTATCTATCCATTGCAATATTTCTATTTGCCTATAGATAGAGAAACAGGTAGATATGAATCAAATTGATATAAACTTCAGTTTGCTCATATATTTGTAAATTTCTATCTATAGACAGATAGAAATCGTAAATAGATACGAAGACAACGCAACAGATAGATAATGAACAAATTGACACAGATAGATAGATAGATAGATAGATAGATAGATAGATAGATAGAAAGGAATGATTTTGGTTACTTATCTCTCTACGATTATTCATCCTCTTCTTTCCTTTCTGTTTCTTTCTTCTTTTACTCCTCCTCTGTCTTCATCCTTCTATTTTTTTTCTTTCTTTCTCCATATATGAACAGACTAGGATAGCTATGAAAACAATGAGATAGATAGATAGATAGATAGATAGATAGATAGATAGATAAACTGACGAATAAATACATGAAAAGATCAAGACTAATAGATATCACGATGTGTTCAAAGACAGAGGAACGAAAAGAGAGAGAAGTAAGAAAGCAAAATGTTGGGGAGAGAGAAAGAGAGATAGAGAGATAGAGAAAGAGAGAGATAGAGAAAGAGAGAGAGAGAGCGTGTGATGAAAGTGAAGAGGAAGAAGAAAGTATATGTGAGTTTGTCCCTGAAGTGTTAGCGAAAACTTTTCAATTATAAAACTCGCCGCCTTCTTCAGACACTTGGCGCCGCTTTCGTATCCCATCATGCATCTGCTTCATGGCCGGACTCGCGTCATTGAGTCGCCTTCAAGTCAGAGACGGCATTATTGCATTAGCCCAAAGAAAATCTGCTACCAACTTTGCATTAAAACGACTTTAAAGAAAGAAGTGGGGGCTTCAAAATTTTTACGAAATTCTTTTAGGTCGCTATTGACACGACTTGTTTGGACGCTTATAAATTTCTGCGAAATTCTTCAGTTTCACATCCGGGGCATTAGTATCATCTATCTATGTATGTGGGGGGGGTTTAGTCTATTGAATAAAACGGACAGGGAATGTCTGTTAAGTCTTTTGGTGAATGTCGAATAAGTCATTTGATATCAGGTGGAAACTTGTAAAGGAACATGCCAAAATGATGTCGTCCAATTATTTTTCATCGTTGTTTATTTTCAATGAAAGTAGGTAGAAGTACAAGAAATAGCTAGTATCGCTGTCAAAAAAAAAAACAAAAAAAAAACGATTATAAATCTTGGGTGATCTATACATCAAAAAAAAGGAGCCAAATATCAACAAAATTTATTTCAATCTATGCGCTCATGTGATAAAATACTTTTAAACTATAAACTCATTTTTACCACCTGACGATAACATCTGTTTCACAGAAGAAGCTCGTGAACCGACCTTCATTTCAAATATTAAACTGTTAAAAATACAAAGGCTAAACTTTCTTTCTTATTTCCCCCCTGAAAAAGACCAAAGATAGTTGAAAATATTTGGAATATAACATATAATTTAATTATATTTATTTACAAGTTTCTACCTGACATTAACCGACTTATTCGACACTAGGAGAAATTCACCAAAAATTAATTTTTAAAGGAATGTATTCTCTGATTTACCAGACACTAATATTAGCCCTAAAATAATAACTAAATCGTTATATGTTTTTTTTCTTTTTTACTTAACTGTAATTCATAGAAATCATTATATATATATATATATATATATATATATATATATATATATATATATATATATATATATATATATATGTTAATTTGAAAAACTGTCCTTGAAGCCAAAATTTCAGTTTATTCAGTGGTTTGCTTATAAGGAGACAGTAAAGGAAACATGCTTTGTGATAGAGCGTTAATATGAATTAATATGAAAAAGTTTTTTACTTAACTCATGCTTACTTCGAAGTTTTCTGGCTACATCGTCAGAACAGAGTTAAACTGCTGATATTTCTCGATTCTTTTGTACTTTTATTGTATTATGTGTGTGTTATTTTCCTTTACGATTGATGAATGTTGATTGGTTGCTGACATCTTTTCCTTTCCCTTATTTTTTGTTTTCTTTCCTTTATTTTTTATTCTTTCCTCACCTTCCCAGTTGATCTCTCGTTTATTGCTATTGTTTTGACTATTTAATTTAGGTAAAGGTTTGATTTTTGTGTGTGTTTTCGGGTGTGTGTTTATATGTGAGCCTATGAATGTGCACGCCTCTACGCATACATGCATACAAATATGTATGCACACACTCATCTGCATGTGTATCTTTGTGTGTTCGTATATGCAAGTCTGTGTTTGTGTTAATTATATATGTATTTTTAGTATGTTGTATTATTTAACTTTACTTAGTGTTTGATAAGTCTTTTGTGTTTAGTTGTATGTAAGAACAGTTTTTTGTTGGTGATGCTAAACCAATTGATTCTTTTGTATTTTGTCATTGGTTTATGTTTGGTATGCTCCTTAACTTTGGTTTATTGCTATTGTTTTCACCATTTAGTTTAGGTCATGATTGAATTTTTGTATGTGTTTATGCGCTTGTATGATTATGTGCATCCTTGCGCATGTGCCCGCATGCATACATACATATATACAAATATGCACGTGTACACGTACCCACACACGTACATTTGTGTGCTGGTGTGTGTGTGTGTTTGTGTGTGCGTTTGTGTGTTTGTGTTTGTGTTTGTGTGTGTGTTTATGTGTGTGTTTTTGTACGTTCGCGCCCCTATATGCGTTCTCGATTCTTATTTATTTTTCTATTTTCGCTTTTTTATATTTAGTATTTGTGTGTTTTTGCGTTTTGTAAAGAGTATAATTGTGGTAATTTGATTGTATTTAGTGTAGTTGGCTATTATTTTGTTGGTTATTATTTGTTGATATTGTAATTACTCTTTTCTGGGTGGATTGTGTTTGGGATTGGTATGAATTAGATATTAGATATGGTGGTTTGTGTTTGTGATGGTAATGCGTTTGATGTATTTCTTTTCTTTTTATATTAGTATTTAGGTAGCAAAGTGTATGCTTATTTAAATGTCTGCATTTTCCAATTATTTCATTCCTCTTGTTCAATAAGTTGTTTTTAATCTTAGAGGTGATGATTTTTAATTTTTCAATCAGACACAATTTACAGTTTCTGTTTTTGCTACTCTGTGGGGCTGCTATTTTATATTATCCCATTTAATCTTGGTAATGATGTTATTTTGTTTTGTATTTTAATAGCGTTGTGTTGTTTTTTGTATTTTTCTATTTTCAATGAGGTTTGATGATTATTAAATCTTTCTACAAAGGTTGTATCAGTAGAAAGGTGGTAGGAAGTGAAAATTATAAGGATAAGGAGGATAGTCAACGATTGATTCTTGAGTTGAAAAGAATATGATTCTAGTGTTTAAGGAAGCACCCTTGTTGGAGTCTGTTTCAAAAGTGTCAGTTCTTGGGAAAAAGCTGAGTGGAAATTTTTCTTACATTTGGAACATGGAGGAATTAGGGTGATTCAACTCCGTGGAAATGAAATGGCGTGTTCTAGCAAGAAATGTCTGAACTGAAGAAAGTAAAGAATGGTGCTCATTTGAAGATTGTCACGGAGATAGCGACTGAGTAGCGCCAAGCTTGAAATGTTACGTCTGAGTATGTTTGCAGGGTGGAAAATGAGTCGTCCCCTACAAGACCGCGTAAACACCTTTGAACTTTAACTAGGATAGAAAATGAGAATTGGGATGCTTCAATCCAAATATGGTGGCAATAGCCTATTTTTGGTCTCATTTGAGTCTTGTAAAGATAAAGCATATTTGAAGGAGTCAGGTACTTCCTGAAGTAACAGAATGTACCGACCATTTTTCCAGTATCTTTAATAATGGATTGTAAAAAGTTCAAGCAAGGCAATAAAGCCACTAAGACGCAGTGTCTGAGAGAATATGATAAAATAAAACATTATTACGGAGAATGAACAATAAAAGAACATGAATTAAGAAGATAACGATTAACAGGGCATTTAAATTTTTGAACATCAAAGATGACTTGAAAGCAAGAAGTTGGAACAGAGTTCCGTAAGCGGAAAGTCCGAGAAAAGCAACTGTTAATATATAACTTAAGCTTAGGCATTTCAACAGTAAAATGATAGGACTTTGACGCTAATATAATAGTACGCTTAAATCTTTAAAGTTTTGGTATAAAAGAGGTAAATTCATCAGTAGAGTTGCCATGAAAGTATTTATAGAAAAGTCACAGGGAAGCTACATTACGACGGTGCGAAAGTGACTGAAGCCGAGATACCAGGTCAGGACAAATAATATTGCAGCTTCTTCTTTGCATTTTCTACTTAGTAGAAGCACCAAACCATATGTGACATGAACATTTAATGCATGAACGAATGGTAGATTTATGATATGATAAATTCTACAGAGAAAACTGTCTAACAATGAACCAATTCTCCTAAGAGCAGACTTAGGAATTGATTCAATATAATCTTTTCACTTCATGTCAGTGCAAAACGTTCCTCCGACATAGTGCAATAACTTACTCTCCTGAAGGTTAGCATGAGCTATGCCGCTGGAAGGGGAAAATGGCTTCCCGAGATGAGAGCAGATTTTTTTGGAAACAATTTTGACGTCTGGAGTGAACTTGTATCCCGATAAACATTCAAACACACTGCCTTATTGAGTTTTATATTTTAGAAATGCTACTCCTCTTCATTTTAAAAAAAAAATTATTGGTCAAATATTGATTGATTTTCATATAAGATTGATCGAATTTAGTCAACATTTTCGCTAAAGGAAAAGGCAGCTGAAGTTTCTGGGACATATAATGAGGAAGGAGGGCCTGGAGAATCTGATACTCACGGGTCGAATAAAGGGAAAGAGAAACAAAGGAAAACAACACGTGACATACCTGGTGGGCTTAAGCAAGTGAATGACAGAACGTGGTCTGGGTGATGAAGCAGAGGGAAGGAACTTGTTGCGAGCTTCAAGAGGTGGAGAGCCATGATCGCCTGCGTCCTGAAAGGACATGTCACATAAAAAGAGAGTGAGTTTGATCATCACTGGGTGCCCAATACTTTCGGCTTTGTACCACATTTACACTTAGATAATCACCATAAAATAGTCACGAAAAGGCGCACAAATGCATGCGGTTACATATTTTATTTTTGGTCGTTTTGGTTTGGAAGCGACAGTCTTTTACAGTTTGATTCGACATCCTCACGAAGAAGTTTGGAAATCTGAGTTTGAACCGTAACTATTCATTCTATGAGTTGTTCGGCTAATCGTCCCATCCTCAATTAACATTGTACTCAAGACGGCTCGCGCGATAATACCTGTGAATAGTAATGAATAATTGCTTCATAAGCCTCCAGGAAATAATGGAGGATTTCGATAAGTCATCATTTTTAATGTTAAATAAAATAAAACAAGATATTTTGAAACAAGCGAATTTTGTCGTCCGTATAATTCAAATGAATTCCCCCTTGTAGAATTAAAAATATAAACGAATTAGTAAATATCAAAGACATTTGTTCTAATTAAATAAGTTTAGGATAATGCTATTTTGAAAGCAATAAATCGAATGACCGTACTTTATATTTAAAAAATGGATTTTTATTTTTACAGCATATTAATGTGTTTGCAATTTTAGAAAATTGTTTGGAAAATATTCCATGAATAAATAAATAAAAATATTTTGTCGAATTAAAATCAAATATACCCGTTTTTTATTATTTTTTATTTATTTATTTATTTTTTTTTTTTTTGAATATATTTGTTTTTATTAGTTTTCAAATTTGGCTTCGTCCGATTATAGCTTACCCAGATGTCACTGATTTCCTGTACTTTTCCAAGCCTAACTTTATAATAATAATAATAATGCTGAGCCGTACGTTCCTGTGTTGACTCCTCTGCTAGTCTCTGTTGCAGGCATCTGTGTTTCTTCAAAAACCAAAAAGCCAACCTGTGGCTGGTCCTGCAACTATGCCGTGCAGATCATACTTACAGTTTCGGGGAGAGGGCGCATAATTAACGTGATCAGTAATTGAACAAGAATAGTACTTTTACAACCTCGTTCACGATGACATGAAAGTTCACGTTAACCCAACCATTAACGGCTTCCAAACAGTTTTATCTACACAGTTTCAATCACACTGGAGATTATTTTGACACAGAAACACAACGCTACGGCGGTGGAAAAGTGACTGAAGCCGAGCTACCAGATCAGGACCGATAATATTGCAGCTTCTTCTTTGGTTGTTATCAACGAACTCAAGGTAAATGGTAGGTGAAGCGGACCATATGTGGTAGAAGTATTCTAAGCAAGGACGAATGGTAGACTTATAGATATGTATGATATATTCTGGAGAGAAAAATTGTCTCAGTGTGCCAGTGAACCAACTTAGAATACGTCTTCCCTCTAATGAGGCTATTGTGGACTCTTCCACTTACTATAAAGTAGTAAGAAAATAAGCCTCGGAGGGAACAGAGACTGAACGCTAGTCAACCGATACCCCCCCACCAAATCGTGTAACACGCTTTTGTTGTATTTACTCTTCAATACCCTATTTATGTGTAACCTCTTGTTTTGTTATTTCTTAATTATTACCTGGTCACATCTCTTAGAAGTTGATTAAGCAATGGATTCAATATATAAATATGGTTGTACATATATATATATATATATATATATATATATAATTGTAATAAATATGGCGACAAAGATGGGGACAATAATAATAATGTAATATATATATATATAGATTACATTATTCGGAGTATTGTCCTCATCTTGGTCGCCATATTTATTACAACGTTGAAGCCTTTGTACACTCCTTCTTCAGATAGTTGGAACGTCGAACTGAACCCTTTATTTCGCTCACTGGAGTAGACTGTTCTAGTTCCACGTACCATGTTTAAAAAAGTTTTCCACTGCCTTAACCGGGTGTTGAACTCACACTCTTTGGGTTCTGTCACTAACCAACGCCTTTATCCACTGTGCCATGTGTCCTTGAGGACATCTATGCATGAACTTCTGGGCATTATAAACCTAATGTCCCCAGTAACCATTTTTACCTGTGCTCATATTGCAACTACCTGAAGAAGGCTGGAGCGTACAACGGCCGAAACGTTGTAATAAATATGGCGACAAAGATGAAGACAATAGTCCGAATAATGTAAATAATGGACAAACACCTCATCTCAGAAATATAGACAGATATATATATATATATATATATATATATATATATATATATAACAATATGTGCGTGTGTGTGTGTGTCTGTGTGTGTGTCTATAAATATTATGCAAATCTATGAATAAGATAAATGCATTTTTATCATTTATATTTAACTGCATGTGTGTTATATCTTAGCCAACTTAGCGCTTCTTGCTGAAGTGAAATAATTAATTTACATAATAGTTCCGGGTTTCTATGTGATATTCATCGTCTTATATGGCAGGGAATACTGAAAAATCTCCCCACAGATGAGGAGACAACTGAAGACAACTTCTGAGAATTCCATGGACGAGTAAGGAATGAGGCAATCTTTAACTGACAACAAATTGAACAATTTTGCTCAGAATCAGGAAGAGACAGCTGGAATTTTTGGCCACATAATGAGGAAAGAAGGCTTAGAAAAATTAACCCTCACCAGGCATATTGAGAGCGAAACAGATAGGGGAAAGTAGCGAGCAACCGACCTGACGCACTTCTTCGGCACAGGGTTGGGTCGCCTTAGCAAAGAGAAAAAACTCCTAAGTGACAAGACGGATAGGGATTTGCAAAGAACCATGATCGCCCATGTCCTGAATGGACAAGGCACATAGAAGAAAAAAATTGGATTGTGTTATTGCAGACGGTGTGTAAGTTGCTAAAGAGTAACCATATTTTTAATTCCTGAATATAGGTCAATACATTGTGACTTTGTTGATTGTTGATGTTTTTTTTCCAACTGCAAAAAACTTTTCTAAAAATAATTGAAGAAAAAAAACAACACAGAAAAACCTGATATTACAAATTAACTACAAATACGGCCACAGTGTACTGACTGTATTGGTGAATTAAAAATATGTTTGCATTTCAGAAATGTTTCTAAAATATTTAAAATAGCAAAACCAATATCTTGAAAGTGGTTAACAGAATTGCATATAGCGGTAAGAACAAACAATCATTTTGACAATTTCCATCAACACTAAATCCCCCAAAATAAATATCTTGTTTTATATATATATATATATATATATATATATATGTATGTTGTATATATATATATATATATATATATATATATATATATATATGTTATATATATATATATATATATATGTATGTTATATATATATATATATATATATACATATATATATATGTGTTATATTTCTTGTTATATAGATGTTATGTATATGTATATATATATATTGTTATATATATATCTTGTTTATATATATTCATATGCATACACATTATATATATATATATATATATATATATATATATATATATATATATATATATATATATATATTCGTATCTGTGTCTCTGTTTTTTTATGATTACTGCTGTTATTGTCCTTCAATCAATTTCTCTGTCAAGTTCTGAGTTTCATTTTTCGATCTGCGGTTGAACCGAGACCATCTTATATACATCAGGGCACGCGCATATTGAGGAGATGTCCTTCGTTTAAATAGACCTCGAATAGATGAACGCGTGGAAGGAGGGCCGGCCAGGAGCGGTGGGTAAAATCCGACCCACCCAACTACTCTACGCCCTTTCCAGCACCACGACTTGATCGAGAAGCAGAGGCCCGAAGCAAACGAATGTATTGGGATGGGAGTAAGAAAAATAAATAAATAAAGATCTAAATAAATAACTAAAAATTCGCGCCACCAGACGCGGAAATTTGAGTCCGCTGGGTCCAGATATATTGACGTCTCGCGTGAGCTAGCCTCGAGATCCCGCCCCTGACGCGTCGAGGCGCGTTGCAAGGCCCGTACTGTCACAAGTGTTTCGTTCTCTGCATCCCCCACCACCCACGCAACTCCATCACACACAATCGGTTTTTGCTTGTAATAATCGCTGCTATTGAAATTCCAAATCTGTGTGGAGGAAGCAGTTTTTCTAGATAGATAGGCAAAGAGATCGAGGGTCTGCCATAAAGCAATGGGTAGCAGGCTAGCCTCGCATATCATTGCTATTATGATGAATTCAATTTTCACTGTGTGCCTCTCTGCATATACAAAACTACTCTGACGATCTCTTCCCATGCATAGTAATATTGTGTTGCTGATATTGAACTATCGATTTCCCGGTTTTATCTCCAAAATCATTGTGGGTTCGATTCCCATTAAATGCACAACTTTTGTCGCACTGTATCAGAAAATACTACAGAGTCTTCTTTTATGTGACATATCCATCTAGGACATGGGAGATCATATCTCCCTACAACTTCCTTTGTTTTATTGCTTTAAGTTACTTTTGGTCATTTACCATTCCTTATTTAATAATTCTTTAACTTAGTTTCTGTTGTTCTCTATATCTCGTCCCGGTTTGTATCACTTACCGGCGACCGAAAAATAACGATCTTAGTGTTGCGATAAAGAACAACAGACAATATTGTGAAAGGCATACAAGCCAAAAAAGAAAAAAAAATGGCCACGATTCAATGATTTCAAAATATTATTACATCTATTTTTTTAAATGTTATATCTCTTCCGTATGTATGGATCATGGCTCTCCGTAATTTTCTTTTCTTTATTATCTATGAATTGCTAGGACTTCTTAGGAAAGATAATTGAGTGGTGGCCCGTTACCTTCTCCACAGTTTAGTAAATTTCCTGGACTGGCTGCTATTTAAGACACGAAATTTCAATCTGCCATCCTATTTAAGCCATAGTTGACAAGAGAAAAATTGGTCAATGCCTTTCCCAAGAGCATTAGCGCGGAACGAACTGAACACACTCGGTCAGATTGCTATTCACACATCAAATTTTGTTTGTGTAATATAAACGAAAATAAACCCGGCGTTCGGAAAAATAGGTTTTATAATTATATGACTGTATGTTTCTATTCTTAGCATACTCGAAAAGTGCTTCGGGTTCGAGCCTCAGCAGAGGCCTTTTCCTTTTAGATGCGTGTTGCTTACCAACGTTCAAAGAATGACGATTTGAGAGTTACAGTAGAGAGAAAACAAGATTGACATGATGGAACTTCTCTGTGATGGCGACACCCACATAGAAAAGGGTGCTATTTGCTTTTCATTTTTTTAAATTTTTTTTATGGCCAACAGGAAAGTTTACGAAATGGCGCCTTCAAAGCAGACATCCTTTTGACCACAGATGAAAAATAATTGATAAGTAAATTAAACAATTTGGGAATAAGTGACACTTGACCGGGTAATAGTATTTTCCGTTCGCTGGCTTATATAAACGTTAGAATTGAAGGTAGTTCAGGACCGCTTATTAGCAGGGTAATGGATACCCGTCAGATAATGTTCCGATGCCGCCTATTAGAGTTGCCAGCCGTACTTGGTTATGTAGAGATAGGCAAATGAATGGTAGGAGAGAGTTCCCACTGAATGAATCGAAAAGCTGATATGTTTATTATGTGGGGCCTCTTATGACAAATGTCGCAGAAATTGTCCCAAGCCTCAGCTCATGTATCATGCAAGTGAGTCACTGGAAAAACAAAACGAAATAAATTAAAAAAAAAAGCAAGTATATTGGTAACAGGATTGAAGTCTTTATGTCTCATTGTGGAATCAATTTCAGCCTTTGTTTCCTTTTTGAATAAACAGTGGAGCGTTCTCAATTTTTGTGCACCCACCCTCGACGCGATTTGTCTTGTAGATGATAAGTTGAAAGGCAGACCCGTTGTATGTGTACACAAGAATTAATGACACAATGGATTTTTTTGTTTTTTCGCGTGACGCGTTTCATCGGACTAAAGAGATGTTTACGTTGTGTCATTTTGATAAATATATCTGTTAAAATGAGATGCCAGTGCTATTTTAATTTTTGCATAATTTAGATGACAATTTATCCAGTAGGATAGATTGAAAAATAATATTTGTGAATTAATTTTCCTTAATTGTTGGCCGAATTTGGAAATGTTCAGAAAACTACAAGATTTTTACACACATATCTGAAATTTTCTAAAGAAAATTCCCAGCCTTACTCGCGAAACGGAGGGGACATTGTTCTAACATTGTTCTGGTTGATTAAAATTTATATATCATTTTCTCCCAAAAGAATTAATATGGAAGATGCGTTCGTCAAAAAATTTAATCATTCAAAAGTTGTTCTGATTAATAATTTCATTCTTTTATGTTGTTTATGCTGTTAGTATAGAATTTCGGCCAAACCACTGTTTGACCTTCTTTAGACGCGCAAAAATACATGACTTTTCAAAATGGCAGAATATTTTAATGATTTTCTTGTCATTTATTACATTTTTTCTTTGAATTCCAACGTATTTTCACAGCTCAAATCAGAATAAATCAAGAGAATTAAATAAGATACGAACTCTCAGACCAATTCTTCGTGATGTCGTCTTTCATGAATTTAAAAGTATTTATACTTTCAAAACAGCGTGTAGGATATAGAGTGAGAATGGAACTCACTACACGAGCAGATAAATCGTTGAAATAAGACTACCGGTTATATATGTTTATTATATGCGGCTATCCAATGAACATCGCCTACACTACTGTATTAATGATCTCGAAAACGAATTTGTTAACAACACTCTGCAGTGAAGAACGATCGTTTAATAGACTTTACTCAGCCACGTGGCATTTTTGATGCGGTTTGCCAAATGTGCTGCACAACCTCCGGACCGATGATATAAAGAAGTCACATTTCTGGCAAATCGAGTGATCATGGTCGGAAAGCGAATGTTCTAACCACTCCCCTATGCAGCCATACATCGTGATTTACTAAGCGTAACATAGATGTTGCACAGGACCGCAAGTGATTGAGCGTGGCACGCTGAGCATTGCATCGCCTCAAAGTATCTGGCGCATATATATATATATATATATATATATATATATATATATATATATATAATTATTTATTTAAAAATATGATTCCATCGCTGCATAAGAGTTCTAAAAATACTAAAGATCCTTGGATTATTTACCTAACGAGTTCTTTCCTATTTTCGATATATTTTCACACACACACACACACACACACACACACACATATATATATATATATATATATATATATATATATATACACACAAACTCCCTTATATATATATATATATATATATATATATATATATATATATATATATATATAATTACTTAAAAAGAATTTTATAACATAAATATGTTAAAAAATCACTACAAAAATAGCCATTTTGTTTCAACACCATCGGTGTCTTATCAAGTGATGATGTTGAATGTAAAATAAAGAAAAAAATCTGTCGAACCCTGTCTATTCTATTCTTATACTTTGTTGGTTATTGGAATTCATTCCGTATACATCAATTATATATATATATATATATATATATATATATATATATATATATATATATATATATATATAATTACTTAAAAAGAATTTTATAACATAAATATGTTAAAAATCACTACAAAAATAGCCATTTTGTTTCAACACCATCGGTGTCTTATCAAGATGATGATGTTGAATGTAAAATAAAGAAAAAATCTGTCGAACCCTGTCTATTCTATTCTTATACTTTGTTGGTTATTGGAATTCATTCCGTATACATCAATTATATATATATATATATATATATATATATATATATATTCCTCGATTATTCAGGCCGTTAGATGAACATAGATGTAATGGTTAAAATAAACGGAGCGTCTATTCAATTACGGGTATCCACTAAAAATAACGTCGAAAGTGATAAAAATATGCCGGCTTAATAAATAAAAAAAATCCATTACTTCTTATCAGGGAAAGGCAGTGCCCCAGAAAAACTAGCTCGCCATCTAAGCAGAATTTTAACTCCACTTCTCGGCACTATTTGTCCATCACACATAAAAAATTCAGGTGACCTCCTAAACAAATTGAAAAACATAGACATTAAAAACAAATATATGGCTAGTTTAAATATAAAGTCTCTATACACAAACGTCCCTATAGAGAAATGCTTAAAACTACTTAAAAAACGCTTAACAAAAACAAAAATTAAATTACCTCTATCTACATATAATATCATTAAAATATACCAGCTAATCACCAAGCAATGTTTCTTTACATTTGATAACCAACATTACAGACTAAAATTTGGTTTACCAATGAAATCTGCTCTCAGCGGCGTTCTTGCTTGTCATTTTTAGAATTTCTAGAAAGTGACCCCTTCAAAAACATTCTGCCTACAAACTCTTCCTATTTCAGATACATAGACGACTCATTATTAATATATCCAAAATTACTCATTTAACGGATCTTCTCTCCAAACTTAACAACGTTAAACCTACAATAGACTTCACTTTTGAAACTGAAACCAACTACACTCTTCCGTTCCTAGACATCATATTACATAGAAATAATAACGAACTCAATTTTGACGTTTAGAGAAATGCTACAAACAAAAATGGTCTGATCAGTTTCTACTCAAATCACTCTTCTAAAATTAAATCTGGAATTATTATAGGTTTCTTTTTGAGAGCATTAAGTGTCTGCAGTCCCCAATATTTACTTAAAGAAGAAACATACACAGAAACAACATTCAAAAGTCTACAATACGCATATCATTTCATCCACAACGCAAGAAGAAAGGCATACAAAATATACAACCGAAACAAAACTAATAACATAATCCGCAATAATAAATTACATGAAAACAGATGCATAATACTACCGACCAATTCTGTCACGTCCACTATCCAGAATAACCTATCCCATCTAAATAATCTTAAAATAGTCACAAACACTTCCAAAACCAATATGGATATACTCAGATCCTCAATCATTAATAGCAATAATATCTCTGAAGTAGGCATTTATAAAATAAATTGCCAAAACTGTTCCTCCCAATATATGCTTGAATGAAGATATACTGCAGAAATTAAAAAAAAGCATTCATGAGCATAAAACAGACCTTCCAAAAATAACAAATAATGCGCTAGTCATACATAATAAATTCAAACACAATTTTAATTTAAAAAATGATACACTTATAAAAAAAGAAAATAACTCAC